AATGTCATTACATTCTAGATATTCACTATTTATATCCCACCCTGCCATCAAATCATTGCAGTAATGAATTAAGCTCCAGACTGTTTGACTGTATATATTTGTCCATTCATCCTGATATTTGAGCAAATCCCTGAGATTTGGGATTAAACTCAGAAGGATTTATTCACTAGACTGTGAATTGCTGAAAATTATCGTTGGAATTGCAAATTTTATACCCAAATAGCTGGACAAATAGCTAGGTTACAGAAATATTAATTTATTAGGCAAACATTGGTACTATTCCCATTATAGAGAATAAACCCCTTGTCTAGTTGTCTAGGCATGATGATATGAGAATCCTCTTTCACACTTTTCTCCGGATAGATTTACAGTAATTTCATGCGCTTTATTATTCGAAAATGCTTCAAAGGCTGTGCCATATTTAATAAGCTACCAACCTAGAATCAATGATTTATGTTGCTATAGCAACAAGATTGAATAATAGAAAAACACCTGGCATGGATTAAATTGGTAAAGGTACACACATAGTTTGGAATATAGAAATATTACGTCTCTATCGAAGAGTAATATTTTTCTTAGGTTTATTTGTATTTTCCCTCGAACTATAAATTCTACTATTTTTTATTTTATTTTATCAGCATTGCGATTGTGACTTCCATATTCTCCCACTCCCGAATATCTTACCAGGCTATATGTAGCAAACATATTGGTCATTGTTTTCCTTTCCCCACCACCCTTATTATCACTTCTATTTTTTAGATTCTGTATGTAACATATTTTTGAATAACAATGGAGCTAATACAAGCATTTAGAGACACTGCCAACATGAGTATCAAGTAATACGCTATAAGGGTCAGGGCCGGATTAACAAAGGGGCTGATGGAGCTGCAGCTCCAGGCCCAGGCCCATGGAATAGGCCCATTTAAAAAAAAAACACTACTTACACACTACTCTTAGGTTTGCCACCTGACTGGTATTTTAATGGCACAGATGGTATTTGAGGCTGGCTGTGCCGGTATTGCAGTAATACCGGCAATACAAATGCAGGTAATTTAATCAGAATAAATGGAAATTACTCTGCAATACCAGCACCGGCCAGTAGGGGTCACTGTGTGTGGAGAAAGGCAGGGATAGGAAGTTACAGAATATCCCTGCCTCTCTCTACTACTCACTGATCCGTGGGGGAGCAACTACACAGCACAGAGAGTCCATACAGCAACTCTACAGCTCAGGTAAGTGAGGGATGGGGGGAAAGGCAGCAGGGACACATGGGGACACTGAGACACTAGGGGACATATGGGGAGACTGAGACACTAGGGGACACAGACACTAGGGGACACATGACACATTCACTAGGGGACACTGAGACACTAGGACACAGACACTGGGAGACCTGGGAACACTGAGACACTTGGGGACACTGGAAAACATGGGGACACTGAGACACTTGGGGACACAGACACTAGGGGACACATGGGAACACAGACACTAGGGGACACTGAGACACTAGGACACATGGGGACACAGACACTTGGGGACACTGGAAAACATGAGGACACTGAGACACTAGGGGACACATGGGGATGCTGAGACACATGGGGACGCTGTGAGACATAGGGACATTTGGAGACATTGGGACACGGAGACACTATGTCCCCCAGCCAGTGTCCCTAGGGTCTCAGTGTCCCCAAGTCTCCCAGTGTCTGTGTCCCATGTCTCAAAGTGTTCCTAGTGCCCCCATGTGTCCCACTGTCCCCATGTCTATGTCCACAACTGTCCCCATGTCTCCCCAAGTGTCTGTCTCCCAGCCAGTGTCCCCTAGTCTCCCAGTATCCCCTAATCTCCCAGTGTCCCCTAGTCTCCCAGTGTCTGTGTCCCTAGTGTCTTAGTGTCCCCAAATGTTTGTGTCTCCATGTCTCCCAGTGTCTGTGTTCTTAGTGTCTCAGTGTGCCTGGTGTCCCCATGTCTCCCAGTGTCCCTATATGTCCCAGTGTCCACATGTCTATGTCTACAACTGTCCCCATGTCTCCCAGTGTCCCCAAGTGTCTGTCTCCCAGCCAGTGTCCCCTAGTCTCCCAATGTCTGTGTCCCTAGTGTCTTAGTGTCCCCAAATGTTTCAGTGTCCCCATGTCTTCCAGTGTCTGTGTCCCTAGTGTCTGTGTCCCCATTTCTCCCAGTTTCCCTAAAGTGTCCCCATGTCTCCCAGTGTCCCCATGTCTCCCAGTGTCCCCATGTCTCTGTGTCCCCGGGTCTCTCAGTGTCCCCATGTCTCTCAGTGTCCCCAGTATCCTAGTGACATGGGGACACACTGAGACATTGGGACACTGGGAGAAATGGGGAGACACTGGGAGACTAGGGGACTGGGCAGGACTAGGGGACACTGGGAGACTAGGGGACTGGGCGAGATGGGGACACTGACACTGTGATACATAGGGACACTGAGACACAGGGTGACTTGCGAGACTGAGACACTGGGAGACAGTGAGACACTGGGAGCAATCCATCTATACAGCAGAATCAAACTGTGAGTAGTTTGTTGGTGATTTTACAGAATTTTCTCTGATGTCACTCCTTGTGATTTACACGCATAACTAATTAATTATGCAAATGATTAAGGCTGGTATTTTTTTCCAAGAAAGGTGGCAACCTTAACTACTCTTCACATACTCTTGCTTAAAGGAGCACTATAGTGTCAGGAACACAATCATGTATTTCTTACCCTATTATGTTAAAACCACCACCCTGGCCCCTTCTTGCCTCCCTAAATATAGTAAAATATTACTTGTATTCAATTCTGCAGCTGCTGGCTCAGAAGTGGTGGTCTGAGCAAATTACAATACTTCCCCATAGGATTGGCTGAGACTGTCAACTAGGCAGATCAGGGGCAGAACCAGCACAAGTCCAACATAGCCCTGGCCAATCAGCATCTCCTCATAAAGATAAATTGAATCAGTGCATCTCTATGAGGAAAGTTCAGTGTCTGCATGCAGAGGGTGGAGACACTGAATGGCAGTGCTGCACACTAGGCAGTACTGCCCCAGGAAGCACCTCTAGCAGCCATCTAAGGAGCGGCCAGTGGAGTTATTTTCTCTGAAAAGACAGTGTTTACTGCAAAAAGCCTGAATGGAATGATTCTACTTACCAGAACAAATACAATAAACTGTAGTTGTTCTGGTGACTATAGTGTCCCTTTAAGTTTGGAAGCTCAAGAGGGATGTATGGGAACAAAACTTGTGTGCACTGGCTGACATTAAAGTTAGTTTAGGTAATGCAGACGTTGGTCTCTCTAACACTGTGGCATGTCCCCTTTCTTCTACACTCACTACAGACACCTTTTCTCTGTCTCAGACTATACCAGGAAGTTCTGCCTGCTAGTAAGAAGGTAAGGAGACAAGTGGACCAGCGAGTGCTAGGGGACAGTCCTTAGAAAGAATGGAGTGAGCGCATCATTAGACACATTTATGTCAAGCTCAAGGTGCTGCCTGCATTGTATGCCCTTAGTTGGACAGCCTGCAGGATTGGCAGGCAGCCTGACATGCATTCATGCCAGGCTGACCTTCCAATTCTTTGGACAAACATGCCCCCTTTTTGGGCATGTTCATCCCTTTTGGCAGGTCTTGTCACGTGATTCACTCCAGTGGCACACCCTTTTACCTCGCCCATTGACTTCCTTCTTCACTGAACACTGCTGTTAGGGGTTATGGATTTACTTGAAAGATGAATGCATAAATTAGAGAGAAATTAGCATAGAGTATGTGTTTTCTTATAGCTGCATCCTATGAGTTTCCCTCCAGCACCATCTCCATCAGATACATGACGCTTGGGAGGTATGACTGTTTTAGTGTTTTTGGTCGATAAGATTCCGTAATTAGGCCCATCATAATTGTCAGCACCAGGCCCACTGTGCTCTTAATCCGGCCCTGATAAGGGTCCTAAACCCCTTTCTGGGTTATTTTGAGGTGACAGTTGACCTTTAATAGGGTCTTCCCATGCATCCTTAGCATGTAAATGAATAAGCGTAAAATGCCTGGTGTTTTTGTAATTATGGCAGAAATCACACATAAAAGGTATATTAACCGAAGGGTGGCTAATATATGAAAAAGTTGACTGTTATAGGTCTGTGTATCAATCTGTGTCAGTGTGTCTATGTGTGTATGTTGGTGTCAGTGCGTGTCTCTATGTGTGTATCAGTGTGTATGTATGTGTCAGTGTGTGTATCTATGTGTGTCATTGTGTGTATATATTTCAGTGTTCATTTGAATGTGTATGTATGTGTCAATGTGTTTATATGTATGTATCTGTGTGTTAATGCGTATGTATGTATGTTTAAGTATGTATGTTTGTGGCAGTATATTTGCATATGTGCATACAAACATACCCATTCATTCAATCACCAATACTACACACAAATGTACAAACACATTTAAAAACCATCACTTGCTTTCCCATGGGGAAGTCCTAATGCCCGCACAGCGCTCTCTGCGCATGTGCATTAGATTCTCACTCGCTGTAACATCAGAAGAGGTGAAGGCAGAGCCAGCGCTGGAATCGGGTAAGTGTTTTAACCCCTTAAGGACACATGACATGTGTGACATGTCATGATTCCCTTTTATTCCAGAAGTTTGGTCCTTAAGGGGTTAAAGGGGTTTTAACCCTTTCATTGCCATGGGGAAGAGGAGTGCCGGGGCAGAGGGACACTATATTGTTAGGAGTACAGCTTTGTATTCCTAACACTATGGTGTTCTTTCAATTCAAATACCAATACTACCCACAAAAAGCAAACATGCATTTAAAAAAAACAACATTATACACAAACACCCCCCAGCATTCAGATTGGGATCTACCACAGATGGGGATCTTCCTTTTGGCCACCTGTGCACTAGAGGGAGACCCATAAAATGTTTTTGCACCATAGCCCTCTCTACATTAGCTCAGAACTGGTTATTTCTGTCATGCATCTCCACCTCAGGCATTGTGTAAAGTCTTTGCTTGCTTTAAATCTTGTGGCGGACCACTCGTTAGGGGATCCGAGTGTCACTGCCAAGGCTCCCCTTTCCCTTCCAAAGTATCCCATTCAGCACAGTAACCAGTGATTATAGCTCAGTACAATAGCTGTGGTGTATAGCAGTATTATAGCCTCCCCCCATAACTTAGTCGAGACTTAATGCTGGGAGAGGAGCTGGTTTTATTGTCACTAACATGGTATGTGCATGATAGACTGGGGGTTCTGTCACAAATCTCAAATCAAATTTTGAGGGAGTCATCATGAGTTTTGGGCTTTTTAAAAATTATTAAGTGGGGTTATGGTTGTGGTTGTGCATCCCTATTATTGCTCCAAGGAAACAACTTGCAAGCACTGTTCTATTCATGCTCTAATTATATGAAGTATACCATAATGAATCTCATACAGTACATCATACCCTAAGGGCCCTTACTGAGTGCATTATGCCATAAAGATCATCAAACAGTATTCCATACTCTAATGGTCCTCATACAGTACGCCAACAATACATAACCTGAATACTCCTTGTACAGAACACTGCTGTAACAGACCGTTTTGCACACAAGAGGTTAAAAACCGTTTAGGCGATATTCCCCTTTCCAGATGCACCAACAGCTACTGTAAGCACCAATCTCCCGAACTGCAAACTACACAAATACTGGAAACAGCCGAACAGGAAAAGCCTACAATCAGCTTACACTCCTGGCAATCAGCATACAATCCAATTCCCCCAATAACGAGATGACACTTCGTTTTGAGGTCAAACAGAACTGATTTACTGGGGCTACCTGCCCAGCTTTTATGCAGGTCTCCCACCTGGTGGACACTCCCCTAGGGGACCAGATGGAAGACTGGGAAACATATTGGCCCTTAGCCAATCACAGACATACACCTGTAAACACACCCACAATGCATTACAATCCCTCCGACAGAGGCAAAACCCCATTGAGCATGTTAACAAAAGGACTCAAAAATACCCACTGTTGCAAATAATTAACAAAACACATACATTCAACATATCCCCAGATAGCTTAGATCTGAGCGCACATTATTACTGAATGGCGCTCAGATCACATACATACAGTTCAATCGCCATGGAGCCAAAGTCTTTCCCATAGTCTTTCGTTACACGAATGGGCTCCATGGCTTAGCTATCTGAGGTGATGCTGTTCATCCGGTTAAACTACCGAATGAACAGTCATTCGGTTCCACTTCCGAATGTAGAGGTAAGAAGGCTGGCGGCTCAGCGGTGTTCGCGCAATTAAGTGTCCGTTTTCAGTTCCATAGTTTGGGCACTGAACACCGCTGGCCATTCGGGAGCTAAAATGGCCGCTGCCACGTGTTCTGCAAACGAACAAAGGCCACCCAGCATTTGTCAATTAAGCTGTGGTTAACCGCAGCTTCTGGGCGGTCAATTGACCAGTTCCCAGGTGGTCCATCGATCGGTACTTTGTTCGGTAGATTGAATCTACCGAACACCCCGGCAGAAAGGCACGAATACGTCTTTCTGCAGGGAAAATAAAAGGTTTGAACTGCCGGGCCATAGTCTAAAGGGAGCAGGCGAGCAAACAGGCTTCTCCAGTGCACAGTGGCGAGGTTGGCTCCGCCACAACTGCACTCTGTAAATTGTATACTGCACTATAATATGCCTCATAAAGTATTCAGGGTGACCAGATCCACCACGTTTACAGGGACACATATAATTTTGTCATATTTATGAAAACGCATGAAAAGGGTTGCACTGCAGTATGTATAATGCATATTCTGCAAGATTCTTCATTGCCTAATTACTTTATCTTACACCTTCTTCTGAATTCTTCTTACTACAGTGCAACCCTTTTCATGTGGTGCCCATCAATATGTATATATAACATGAGTCCCAGAAAATATGGTGTTTCTGGTCACCCTGATAGTATGATGTAGGTTTATCATTCCTTATACACCACACTGGGCTCAGTATCCAGTCCATATATAGCATTGCACTCTGTATTCTAAAAAATGTAAGGGATATTATTAAACTGATACCCAAGAGCTGGTGTTTTGGTTAGGTTTTTTGCACGCTCAATATTTTCAATATGACCTCCATAATATCATAAGGGAGATTAAAATCTCTCCAATGCCCCTGCTCGCTAAACCGCGAGTAGGGGCATGTCTGATAAACAGTGAGCAGCCTGTGGCTGTTCACTGTAAAAAAACAACAAATAAACTATTGTCTCCCCCCCCGGCCCCCACCCCTGCGCGGCGGGTGGGGGCCATAATGATAATGGGGGGGGGACCTACTGCCCCCCTGGCCCCCACCCCAGGGCGGCGGGTGGGGGCCATAATGATAATGAGGGGGGGAGACCTACTGCCCCCCCGGCCCCCACACCTGGGCGGCGGGTGGGGGCCATAAAGATAATGAGGGGGGGACCTACTGTCCTCCCCCTGGCCCCACCCCTGGGTGGCGGGTGGGGGCCCTAAGTCATTTACCCCCCCACCCCATGCCCCTAGAAACCCACCCCCCCACCCAAATAAAAAGTCCCTACCTACCCCCCTCACCCTAAAAAACAGTGAGAGGGGAATAAAATAACTAACCTGTAAAATAAAATTAAACTTACCATTCAAACAGTAGGCCCCCCCCCATTATCATTATGGCTCCCACCCGCCGCCCAGGGGTGGGGGCCAGAGGGGGGTGGACAGTAGGTCCCCCCCCATTATTATTATGGCCCCCACCCATCGCCCAGGGGTGGGGGCTGGAGGGGGGTGGACAGTAGGTCCCCCCCATGATCATTTGGCCCCCATTTAGTAGGTCCCCCCCCCATGATCATTTGGCCCCCATTTGGCCACAGGTTGCTCACTGCTTACCAGACATGCCCCTACTCGCGGTATAGTGAGTAGGGGCAGATTATTTACTAATACTAAGTAATTTTTACTTAGTATCAGTAAATGTGGCTGAAAGACCAATTTAGGTCTTTCAGCATTTTAGTAGATAACTCCCTGATACCGTGGGAATTAGGGAGTTATCTACTAAGCGGCTGCAAGATGCAGCCACAGCACGAATAGGATCGGAGTTTCATTAATTCGAATGAAATTCCGATCCAAATAAAGTGCCGAATTGCGTTCTAAAACAAACGAACATACTGTTCTCATTCAGTTAGAACGCAATTCGGCAGTTTTGTGTAAAATGACAGGAAGCATCGCGGGAACACAGAGGAAAGGTGAGAATTATGGGAAAATTGCTCTGACCAGCGGAAATGAAGCACACTTTGCTCCTCCGCTGGTCAGAGCTGGTCAAGCGGAGGAATCCTCCATATGCAAAGAGTCCTTACTTTGTCTTATGATTTTAAAGAAAACTAAAGAAGACAGGAAGAAAATAAGAACAGATCCTGAGAGAGGGGGAGAAGAGGAAGAGATTGAGGAAAGGTAAGTTCGGCATGACAGTGCCGCTTTAAATCAGATTGCATTCTTGTCCCACATGCTGATTATTCTAGAAGCAGCCACAATGACCTCCGCTGATATTTACTTAAGAAGGCAATCTTTTTCCAGCACCAAGTGACATGTTGTGTCATTACTGAGTAGTTCATGTGTTTAACGCAAACAAGCTGACACATCTGTTATTTGTAAAAAAACAAACCTCACTTAAAAAATAAATATATGGATAACAAGCCAGCCATTCTTCTGTGGACAATCTAAGCTGCAAATACAGCCACGAATAAACAGTAACGTCTATATACTGGAGGATTTGCCAAAGAATTCCTCAATGTAAAGCACTTGGAATATGTGACTGTGTTTGAAGTCTGTGAGCGTATGCTTTGGCAGGTGTTTCAAACAGAAACTAGGACACGTTATTGAGAGATGTACTGTATATAAAAATAAAGTATGAAGACCATCTTGTAGATGGATTGCAGTAATACAGATGACTCCTTTGGCTAAATGTTGTGAGCGAAACCTGGCTGCTCATAGGAAAGTTGGATTTATTTCATACAATATAATAAGGCATTTAGAGGCAGATACATTGCTGTATGAATGTATGAAGGTGTCGATGTAAAAGAAGAGAGTTTCCCTAAACCAAAAGAAAAGTAGGGACATGACTGCGTGACTATACCTGTGGTCAAAATACAATAGTTCCGATGACTGGTTACAGTACATTTATAGATTACATTACACTCACTATCCTCTTCATACAGAACATTACACTCAGTATCCTCCCCATACAGTACATTACAATGTCACTTAGTATCCTCTTCATACAGTACATTACACTCACTATCCTCTTCATATATATATAGATCCACCAGACAGGTAGCTGGGCAGGTGGGCCGCACTTGGGAAAGGGTTGGCAGCTCACTTAGCCCAGCTGACACCACTGATTACAGCAGATCTAAGGATGCCAGAAAGTGCTGGCCTGGGTGGCCTACGCAGCAAAAGCATCACAGCAAGGCTCCAGGACATCACTACTTTGGCAGCTGGAGTGACAGGCGAGTACTGGCATCCCGGGAGGGGTTGGGAACGGAGGACAGAGTGGGTCATAGGGGCCCCACAGTTTTCAGCAACTGGGGGTTCGGTTAGTGAGTTGAATGCTGCACTACATGGTGGGAATTTACTATGTTTAAAATCTTTTATAAATTTGTGGGGTACAAATTTGTGGGCTTTGTGCAAGTTTGGATACCACACATAGGGTCACAAGGTTGGGGGCAATGCTACTGTGGTTCCGGAGATTAAAGCAAGTGTTGGGGGTGACGCGGTGACAGCATCGGGTGTGTAGGTCACTTCTGAGGTGGGTAATTAGCGAACTGAACTGTCTGGTTGCATTATTGGTGTGGCCAGACAGAATGCTTATGTTTTGCTTTCAGGGGGTTCCGTTGGTCCTTTTAAAATGGAAGATGTAAGAAAAAATTTAGAAGGGGGAGTTTTGGTCAAATAAGTAGAAAATTTATTTAACCTGAAGGAAGAGGATAAGAAAGATGCAAAGGAAGTGAGGTTACAGGCTTTTTTGCATCCTTGCGATTGTAATTATCGAGAAGGCACATGGTTTTATGCTCCCCGTTGTTCTGTTATCAATAAAAGACAATGCAAGTGGGGCACCAGATGTAAGTTCAAGCACAAGTGTCCTGGCATTAGGGGAGCCCACAGACAAAGCATGTTCTTCAAGCGGGGTAAGACCAGTTCCACCACTGGCGCATCTGGGAGTACAACTGCTTTATTCCACACAAATTCAGCCCTCTCCATTCAAAAAGTACACA